ACATCCAGATCATCCAGACAGCTTGAGGATGCTTGAGGCATAATTATTTGAGGCATAGCGGCATAACTAGTCCAACCGAAAAATTCACGACATCAGACCTTGTTTGTGTAATTGTCATTTTTTCTCCCATGATGTTGGAGGACTCTACTGGCTATGTCAATGACCCGGCGTCGACCCTGTGCAGGCTAGCTAGAGATAAGACAGCTGAGTTGGCTTCGGTCAATCATTAAAGTAAAGCCGATTGCCAATTGCCTTTTCCTTTGTGTTGTGTTTCGGTTCGGCCGCACCAATGTTTCTCTTCATTTGTCATTTGCCGGCCCTGCTACTCGTATAAACCTCACTGGAAGTCTAGATTCTAGATGAACACTGTACTTCATTGCCAGACTGCAAGAGGATTATTGTTCGAGCAGGCTCTCATTTGGGGGTTCAGCAACATTCTTTGCAGGCGATGTGGCTATTCATTTCTGGAGCACAAGAAAGGATTGCCCACAAACCAGCAGGGAGGACGGGACGTTCACCTTTGGTCGAGAGAACTTTCTGTCAAACTTCTTGTATCCACAAAACGTCTTGCTTTTTTGCTGTTTTTCTTCTATCCTCTGCAGCGATGCACCCTCAAGAGAGCCGACCTGGCAATTTTCAAGCTGGCAGCCGAATGGCTTCGAGGAGACTACATCATGAAACTGCATCAACTGAATCTGTGTAACCTGTAGTCACTGTGGTCTTTATTTGGTTTGCAAAAGAAATCTACTCGCTGAGAGGGAACCATTTAACAGGCTTGCGGCTTGATGATGATTTCAGGATGCAAGAAACCCAGTCAGCTCAAGCCGAGTACAGTGTCAAGACAAACATGACTCGAGTGCGCAGCTGGGGTGCGCAAAAAGTCTTAAACTAGCCTTGATCAGAACCTTTGTCCATAGACACTGCTGTAATGTTCCACATGACGGGGAACACGGGGTCAGCAAAAAGTTGTGTCGAACTTAGGTACACCAAGAGTTTCGTTGCTTTTGCATGCCTTTGCGTGGAGAACTATGGCCTTCATGCTAGAGATGCTTAAACAAGTAAACCTGCAACACACATGAATTGGAATCGCACGTCTGAAGATGATCCGATTACGCAATGTTCCTTTTTTGTTATTATTACTATTAATTACTATTATTTTCATGTATGTGTACTGCACATGTTTGAAACAATTCCTGACAAGAAACAACGAACCCTGCAAATAGTTTGAGACCCATGCCCTCCCCGAGCTTATACAGGCACCTAGACAATGTGAGCACAATTCCTGGCAAGTGCTTGAAGAGATAAAATAGAAAAAGTAGAGAATGGAAGCAAGGGAGTCGGGGTGGGCAGTGAAAAGATGATAAAGGTGTGTGAGCGAGTGAGGGAGGGAGGGAGGAAGGGAGGGAGGGTGAGTGAGTGTGTGTGTGTGAGTGTTTGGAAATGAACAACTCGAAGCAGAACCTCCCATCTCCTCAAGAGCGAACAAAGCGCAGGTAAACGTAAGAGCGAACGTAAGTGACTGCAAGTGAGTTGAGTTGGTGTGAGATGAACTGGTCGGTGGGAGATGCCGGTTGGATGCGTAGGCGGGATGGGGATGCGGGATGCGGAGGGGATGCACATCAAAGTGATAGCCCCACGCGTGGAGTGTGTATGGGTGTATTCTGCAGAGGAAAATTTCAGGGGAACCTTCTTCATAAGAAGAGGAGTATAGCATGCAAACATATTTTTGCACTCGAAGGAGGTAGGTCATCATGCTCAGGTGCACAAATGCTTGGCAGTTGTTTGGTCCCCAGCCTCGCGAGGAAGTGGCTTCTCCCTTGTGTACTTTTGACGGCTGGCCTATGGAGTCTTTGGTATCTTGGTTGCGGGCTTGTTTGTCTTGCTTGCAGCTGAAAGAATGACTGACTAGACATAGCTTCAGAAAAATTGCATTTGTGGCCTGGGGCCTGGGGCGCTGGCTCGTGCATGAAGTTGTTGTCTCTTTGAATCAGGCTGGCCTTTACTCCAGCGCCCGTTTGCCGAAGAGATATCGAGATAGTCGCCGTCGCCGGAGGGAGGTCCACGCAGAGGCGCCCTGCTGCACTTTCACAGGTTGTTTATGCTCTCTTTGACCTCTTTGTTGTAGCTACTACTACCAGAAACACCGTGCGAAAAATGGGTCTGGTTAGTTCATCAAGCACGTGATATCTGTATACCTCCTCGTCCAAAGAAGCAAAGTTGACACAGAACGCACTTAGGATTCTTAATTTATCTAAAACAATTTCATCAACAATTCAGAAAACAAGAGGTGTTGAAGACCGGACAGCTGCACATGGGAGGTTTCCAAAGACAGTGCTTTGCGCTAGAGGTGGCGAAGCAGAGGCCACCGTGGGTTGTTGAAGTCACTCATGCTGTTTAACATACCAAACTACAGAAACACTGCGAGTTGCGTTGACGCTGCCTCCAGCTCTCATCGCAGTTGTACCTGTTGTGTTTTCACTTGCCATTTCTTGAAAGTCTCCAGGAGGAGAGTGTGGAAGTGGGAGGTTTTTCAGCCTTCGTTGTTGGCCTAGCACTTTTGCCATTCATTGGCATCTCGGATACATATTCTTCATTTTTTGTTGTTGGGTTAGCCCTGTGGTGGAGGCCAGCCTTTTGACATCCACCACGCTTTTCAATTTCAGCACAACTTTCAACAGCACTCTATGGTCTGTCGTTATATATAATATAGTCCACAAATTCTGCATCATTTGAAGCCACAGAACAAGGGACTGTGCATAATCAAATCAATTTTCAGTATTCAACTTTCAATAGTAAGAGATTACATAGGGTCAATGTTCAAGAAAAGAAATACAGGGAGGCCAAGAAATCAACTTAGTGTCAGTGATTTTGAATGCCTGCAGCAAAAGCAGTATTCCGCAAGATGTTTGTAAGGTTGTGCCTTGTCCTTGGGATTCAATGTCATTTTTGCGGGCGAGTCTTTTGAATTTGGGCCTTTTGGGCTGCAGTTCCTTTCAGTGATCATTTCACTTGGGCACCTTGGCAGGGGATTGGAGGCCATCGCTAGTAGGTTGGAGGCTGGAGGCCATCGCTATTAGGTTGGAGGCCATCGCTATTAGGTAGGAGGCCATTGCTACTTGTTTGAACGCAGGCTAGTCTCCGGTGAAAGGCCTTCAATCGAAATCGGTCCTCCTTGCCAACCGCTTGCAGGGTGGTTCTATGGTCCATCGGCAGCCTTTTCCAACGTGGCAAAGGGTTGCCTGCAGGTTGGTTGGGATTGCTTGGCTTTGCAGAGGCTCGGCAAATGTTCAAGTTGATCAGCAGCACATTTATGCAAGATTTGCTGCTCTGCAGACACTTCGATCATCTCTCTTGGCAGGGTCTGTCTTATTTGGCAGCGCTTTTGCTTGCAGTGGCTGCTGTGGCCTCAAGCTTTCGTTCCCCACCGCCCCCGAAGCCTGAGAGTCAGGCCACCAACTTGTCACAGTATGCAGAATTGTGTTTCGCTACTAGGAGCAAAGGGCATCGCTACTAGGAGCGAGGACCCTACTAGGGGCTCCTGGCCTTACTACTAGGAACAAGAACGCTACTAGGAACAGTAGCCACCACCTGCGCCTATGTCGAACACATCGAACGTTGCAGGCACCTACATACAGACCTGCTACCTCGTACACTGCTCCAATCATCAGAAGCGTTCCCAAAGCGCCGGAGGTAAAGATCCCTAGCCTCCCAAGCTTCACCCCACCAGAGTTGCCAACCTTCAAACCGCCAGAGATCAAAGTGCCAGAATTTAGAGTGCCAGACATCAAAACTCCAAGCCGGAAGACATACCAGCCTACCTCTGAGTTTGATGATCTATCTGGCTTGGAGACAACAACAGACAAGAAGAGCTCAGAAGCCAGGCGACGCGAAGAAGCCAAGAAGGCAGAAGAGGAGAGGAGGGCTGAGGAAGCAAAGAAGAGAGAGGAGAGGAATGCCGAGGAGGCCAAGAAGCGTGAAGAGG